GTAAGGTGACTAGGTCAGGAGGCTGAGCAGTGGCTGGCAGATCCTTCTTGGAAGGGTGTACATGGATATGCTTCCAGTAACTCCTGTTCTTCCAGCAGAAATCTAGTTCTCACAATCCACAGAGAGAAACGTACACGTTTTTGTAGCTAATGACAGAGGGTTGCACACTTTGCTGCTCATGTTGACCAAGCTCTCTGCCTTGTTCAACCTTTTAACTGCAAATGTAGGTCGGGGTGGAGGTGGGGCTGGCCAGAGTGTGAGGGGCCTGGCTGGAGATTGGGGCCAAGAGCCCAGGAGGGCAGAGTAGCGGCATTGGGGGCGGGTGAGGGTCTATTTTGGAGCCCCCTGGCTGGAATGGGGAGGAGGGCCTTGTGTTGGGTATACAGCTCAGCCTACATTCTAGTAAGCTGCTGCCTGTGATGTGTAGATAGCAGCAAGAGGGCGCCAGAGAGCTTCCTCTGCCGGCATCACAAAATGGGCAGTTTATGGGTTAATTTCAGGCTCTTTTAGTTTCTACCGAAATCAGCAGGGGTCTGCCTGGTGCTCCCTTGAACGTTCTCCGACGCTCGGATGCGGTTTTCCGAAGTTGTCGCGTTACAGATGTACGAATGGAGAAATGCCATCAAGGTGAGCGTAGGGCCTCGCTTTGCTTGGCCCCCAAAAATACCGAAACCAATTCAGAGCTAGCACTGCAGGTGCCACACCTCGTACCCTGGGCCAGGTATTGCTGGTGTATTTAGCCATGGAGAATTGTAGAGCTGGAAGGTCAAGAGAAAAATCCAGATGTCCCTGAGCGAAGGTGGATTGGAGGCAGGAATTGCAGCACTAGAGGCGATTAAACAAACATGACAGTGGCTCTGTGGGCGGAGGGGATGGGCTTGTGGTTAAAGCCATGGCCCCAGAACTCTGGAGACAGGTTCTCTTCCTGGCCTTTCCACAGACTTTCTGTGGGATATCCCTGGGCCTCCACCACTTGGTTCCTTTTGGGGTCACTTACTCTGTGCCAAGGGGAGGTACAATGGTCCCAAATCCGAATTCTCTACTCACACCCTGGTGGTGTTTTTACATTTGCTGTGCACAGATGTGAATGGCAACACAAGGTGCCAGGCAGTGGGGAATTTGGGTCATCTGTCCGAGTTTCCCGTCTGTAAAGCAGGGGTGATGAGAATGATGCTTTCCTACTGCACAGCAGTGTTATGAGCATAAACCTGTTAGGCATTTGCATGTTTCAGTACCGAGCGCCACTGAAAGGCTTGTGAATAATTCAATAAAATCTCTCTCATGTAATGCCATTGTCGTCCATGGAATTACACAGAGATGGCCCATTATATGCTTCCTGTAGCAGCACTCTGTCTTCCACCCAAGGTCGATTAATGCTCGATCTGTGAAAGATGGTTGCAGTGGACCCTGGAACAATACAGAATGTGCCCAAAGTTTGGTTTCAGTGTCAAGTTTGTGTTGGGCCACGTTCATCAATCTTAGTGAAGGTTCACGGGCTGGGGCTGCTTTATGGTTTGGGGCACAAACCACATGTGTGAAATTCAGAGGCTTTATCTGTCCCAGTGAGTCCTTTGTTTCATTGTAAAGAAATCTGGTCTTGATTTTCAACACTGCACCTGGATCGCTTTCTGTTCTTTCAGATTAAATAATAAGTGATTTGCGGGGAGGTTGCTGATAGTGGAAGGCTCATCGGAGTTTCACCAGAACTGCATTTCTTTGAGTGCTCTCATTGGCTAGTGTGGCTCTTAGCTGGAGCTGCCGTTAGGAGGAGGAATAGACAGATCCTTTCCTCCATCAACAGAATGGGATGGGGCTGTGTAAAAAGGAATTCATGTTACACTCCTGTTCCAGGGACACAGACAACTTGAAATCCAGTCCACTATGCAAAAGTAACATAATTTCAGGCACTGCATTTTCCCCCAAATTCTGCCCCTTGCCTCAAAATGCCATTTTTTTCCTTAAAAAAAAACCCAAAGAAACAAACAAAAAGTTTCTCTTCCGATCATTGTAGGACAAATCCACAAACAGCAGGTGAAACTGACTAGCCAGAAGGTAAAATGGGTCAAACACAAAGTAAATGGGTGTGTGTGTGTGTGTGTGTGTTATTTTTTCAGTCTAAGTGGCATGAGATATGTAACAATAATACCCCCAAAAACCCCAGAGATGGATTTAGTTGGGATTGGTCCTGCTTTGAGCAGGGGGTTGGACTAGATGACCTCCTGAGGTCCCTTCCAACCCTGATCTTCTATGATTCTTTAAGTTGCCTTCGCTGTGTTCCCCCCAAAGCAGCTCTGCTGAGGTTTTTGAGGCCAGCCTTTTGGCCTTTGCTTCTGCTTTCCCCCATTCCATCTAAACTCTTACGTATAGCTCTGGTTTTCAAAACATGCATCCATGCTGCGTTTGTTTCTTACTCTGGAAATCTCCCGGCGTACCTTGCACAGCCTGGCTTTGGGCAACAACCTGGCAGTACCAGCTCGGCCTAGAGGCATGCGATGACTGAAATTTACTAAGGAAGCGAGCTCAGTTTACAGCCTTCATGGAGAAGTTCATAAATCACAAAAAAAGGGAGCAGGGGAAGAGAATTTCGATGGGGAATTTGTTTTAAAATACCTCAGTGGCATGAGAAGTCAAGTGGCAGTCCCTCCTCAGTGACCACTTTACCTTAGAACTGCTCAAGCAAGAAGGGGGTTCTGTGGGAGGCACCAGACTTGCCAAGAGCCCAGCATTTGTGGTTTCTTCTCTCTAACAAGGGCTGGTGGCTGAAAGCAGAGCAGGTAGCTACGTGTTTTCTCCTTGGCTCAGAGATTAGCGATGCCATTGGCTCCTGTAAGGGCACCGGCCCAAAGACCCTGAATTGGGTCTTATGAGGAGAACATAGCGCCCAAAGGTCTGTGCAAGAATCAGGGCCCAGGTGTGCTGAAGCAGCCCCTGCTCCAGAGACCCTGCCACCGTCTTCAATTCGTTTGTACGAAGTGAGTGTGCCAAGCAATAGGAAGGAGGCTGGGAAGACAGCGGGATGATCACACGATTATGCGGCTGGGGATGGGCACAGTGTTAGGTACCAGATCACTGACCCCTTTAAAAAATGATCTTTTTGGAAAGTCCTCGTTGACCCAGCCCCTGAGCTCCTGCTCCAAACAAGTGACCGTGACGACTTATGATTTTTATACTATTTGTTTGGTTCCCCTGGTCTTTATAGTCTCTCCCCAACCACCCCTCTACCCGCTGTCAGGAGACAGAGGTGGATCCTTACAGGAGCCAGAGGGCAAACACCTCACTGATTGGCTGTAGGGCATATGATCTGAAGTCTGGGGCAGGGAAGATGCCACCAGAGTGTGTTGGTTACCTCCCTGTTCTAACAGCTCAGAGTCTGGAGCTGCTGGGAGGGTGCTGCCCCCCTGGTGCAGCTGGAAATGGGGGGCTGTTGGGATAAATGTGCCCCCTAGCCTCTAGGGAGTACGGGGCAAGGGGATTCAGCTATCCCTTGTGCTTCTCACTGCTGAGTCTTGGAGGAAAGGGTTTGAGGGGAAGGATTGCCTTGTGGTTGAAATACTGGCTTGAGTGGGAATTCCTGGCTGCACCAGGGACTCCCGTGTGACCTCATGCAAATCTGTTAAGTTCTGTGTCTCAGCCCAGGGGTAATCCTACTGACCTGCTGCCTGGGGCCTCATGCGGCTCCACTCCAGAGGTTTGTGAAATGGGTTGAGTTGAGCTGGCAATGCTCCATAAAGGAGGAGGAGGATAGCCTCTGACCCATTGTAAAGGTGGGGAAGGATCTGCATCTCCATTGGTACAGCCAGGGAAACTGAGCCGCCGGTGGGGGCGGGGGGGGGGGGTGTTAATGGCCTGTTTCTTGGTGGTGCTGAGATCCCTGCAGCTTCCTATTGAGTGGGACGAGGGATAGCTCAGCGCCTCGGAGACCCGGAACGGGAGTGGCTTGCCCAAACATCACACAGGGAACCAGCGGCAGAGGTAGGAACAGAACCCAGGTCTCCTGACTCCCAGCCCCGTGCCCTGGCCACATGCTGCCCCCTGCTGTTCATCATTTTTCTCTTCAGCTATAACTGCAGTTCCTGTGCTGACTTCAGTATTCAGGGGGTTCTGTGGGAGGAGGGGAAAGGGAGGATGTTGAGAGCCTCTCTCTGCTGACCTGATGTGAAACCAAGCAAACGACCAGACTCTGGAGTAAGTCACTCTGGGCTTGGGCTCGCAACCCTGACTCACGTGAGTCAGCCTTACTCATTCCAGGAGCCCTCCTGAATTCAGTGGGACTACTCAAGTGAGAAAGGGACTACTCGCATGGGTAGAATTGGAAAATTGGCATCCAGTACAAGTTATCAATCAATGAACAGGGAGTTTGGGCCACAGGCGTTGGATTGGGGCCTCTCTCCAGTTCTGCGTTCCTCCAAGGTCATTAGTTACCCCTGTGGTTCAGAGCTTTAGGAATTCCATATGTTGTAAAGAAACGGAGCGGGGGGGGGGGGGGGGGAGAAGGTTACGAGAGCTGCCTTGAAACAAGGGTATCCCTTTCCTTCATACCAGCGCATGCACTATCCATGCATCTCTGTCTTAATCATTGCTCTGCTTAACAGGAAGGAATGTGTGATCCCTGCAGCACTGCACAGCTTTGACCATAAGTGTTTGTGGGGTGGGGGGGGGGGGGGGGGGGGGTGAATATACTTAAGCGCTGTTATAGTATTAACCAGGAGGACTATTTTGTCTTCCCTCCACAGCCTGGAAGTGTCTCCTAAGGTAGAAACCAGCTCAGATGCACCTTCTCACTTTTCCCCTTGCTCCCCTGTCCAGTGTCCTCCTGCTGGTATAGTCCATCCTGCTCGCATGCAAAGCACTAACCTTTTAACTGCTACTGAAGAAAGCCAGTTTGGATGCCTGTCCCCTACCAACCCATTCCTCCACTCCCTGCACAGCAACCCTTTCTTTGAGGACCTCCTTGCTGACCAGGTACTAAACTCTCCTTCCCCTACTCACTTTTTCTCTAGTTTCCACTCTGGGTCGCAAGCTACCAAAGAGGTCGTTGGGCACCTTTGTTCCTCTGAGGATTACAGTCCCTCTGCCTCCCTAGGATTTAACAAACCACAGCAGGAGTCTTCAACCCAAAGCGCTGGCGCCCCTATTCCAGAAGCCACTCCCACACCCCAAGGACTCCGCCCTCCTCGAGAACAGACTCCTGTTGCTCCTCCCATCTTTGACTGGGATGACACCTTTGATGCCTTTGCAACGAGTAGACTCAAACCAGAAATTCGGGAGGAAAGCCTCTTGGCTTCTGTAGTTATGGAGGGCATGGCCTACGTCGATGATCCAAGTCCAACAGAAAGCCCAGCTGAACTGGCTCAGGAAAACAAGACTGAGATAGCTAAGGCTGAGCCACAAGCTGCTGATGAAGTGTCTCTAGGCCCAGGGTCCTGGGCAGATGTAACGCTCTTAAAAGGAATGGAGGCAAACTTACTGAAGACAGCGCAAGAAGCTACGCTGAGAGAAGATGGTGTGTTGGGTCATTTGCCTTTAAGCTCTCTGTTGGAGAGTGAGAAAACTAGCGCCTCTCCACCTTGGTCAGCCTGGTCTGCAGTGGGAGCTTCGGGGAAGGAGGAGGATGTAGCAGCATTGACTACTCAAAATAGTGCCAGAGCGAAATGGGCCCCAGAAACGGTGCACGTAGAAAAAGCGACTGTAGCATACAATGAGGAGGAGCCCAGTAGTGCAGGGGAAGATGAATGGACGACCACAGGCACAGAAACAATTGGCGGTCTATCGGAAAGCGACCGAACCGTCGCCGAGAAGGAACACGAGGTTCAGGAGAGCAGGTTCAGGCCATGTCCACCTTCCGATGAGGGCATCTTCGAAGAGGAAAGCAGCCCTGTGACTGCCCCAGGCTTATTGACCAAAAGCAATTTAGTCTTCGAGAAACCCAGTGAGGCACTTCCTGGGAATAACACTGTCCTACCATCGTTGGTGTCAAAAGCGGAAGCAGCGGAGAAGCCGCCAGCTGTAGTCGACATCAGTGATGGTCAGGATTCTAGTAACACAGAGGGGATGATTGATATAAAGCCACCCGGAGGTGGGCTTCAGATTAGTGCACAACTGGAGGCAGATGAAGCCAGCATGAAACTAGGTTCTGACTTTCACGAAATACACGTCCCCTCCGCTGCATGGACTGAGACCCCAGAGAGAGAGGAGGAGAACAGCGAGGCAGCTGGTTTGGAGATGACCATGGGGGCACCGCCGCCAAAGCCTCGGAGATGGTTCACACCCGGGGATTTCAGAGAGGAAGGTGATGAGGCCAATTTGGAGACACAGAGGAGCCAGCAAGACAACGAATCTCAGCGTGAAAATGAGGAGGGCCCAGAGGTGGAAATTCACCCGCAATATACCCATGTAAGCCGAGAGAACGGTTCCCCAGTGGCTGCCAGCCCGCCTGCGTTGGGAGCAGCGATAATTGAAGCAAAAGCGAGGTCTGTCCCTTCGGTCGCTGGAGATGCTGATTCCGCCACAGAGGACTGGGTGGCTAATTTGAAGGCAAAAGCTAATGAGTTCACAGAACGGGACACCTCTTCTGGGGAAAACCTGCTAGAGATAAATGAGGAGACTGGGGCTGAGCAGTTCGAGACTTGCCCTTCGAAATTCTCACTAGACAGATTAGGCCTGTCAGATGCTGAAGACGACGCAAACAAATTGGAAATGGTAAAGCCAGGCTTCCCGCCCCAGTCACAAACGCTCACCGAGCGACGCTCCGGCGCCGGGTGGGGCTTGTCGGAGACTGCACCGGCGTTCCCAGAGAGGAACGAAATACTCCCTGAAGAGCTGATTCCTTCAAAGCCCGATACTCCCAGAGATCCGGAATCCAGCCAATCGGTGCTGTTCTGCATGGCTGTGGAGGAGCAGCGGCCAGCTACGCACTACCCAAGCCCCAGCCCAGCCAACCAGCTTGAAAGGTCAGCTCTGCAAGAGCATCCCTCACAGCCAAGGCCTAAATCGGGGCAGGGAGATAACCAGGGCCATCCTAGCAAAGCACCAGCCCAGCCAGCTGAATGGGAGCCTCAAACCCCAGAAGCATTCGTGAGCCCGACCAGGGCGTCAGAGCAGGGTAGCGATTCAGCTGACAGGCCCGAGCCATTGTCGAGTCAGCGGTTTAGTTGGTCAGCAGATCGAGGGATAGACTTCAAAAAGGCTGACTTCTGGAGGCCAGTTAGCGGGGAGGAGGGCAGAGAGCAGGATGACATTTCAACCCTGGGCAACCCTTTCACCCCCAGAGTCAGCCCCTCTTCCCCAAACAATCCCTTTGTGGAAAAGCCACCAGATGTGCTCCCGATTCTGGCCACGTCACCCGAAATGCCAGGTCAGGGAGGCTTAAACTTCAAAGACCTTCATGAGGAAGCTGCTCCGCATGGCTTCCAGCCTGCTAACCTCCCAGGGGACCAGCTAGTCGAGCTTCCTTTCTTGCATGGCAACCAGCCCTTGGCCTTCTCCACACCTTCCCTTGTGGCTGCGACTAACCCCCAGCAGTTCAATTTCCCTTCCCCCATCGTGTGCCCTACAACTGGTGGGGTGCCTGCGGTGACCAGCCGGGCAGCAGCCCAGTCCTCCTGCCCTTTGCTGCAGACCGGTGGCATGAAAGTCTCAACGCTCACGGTTTTGCCCAAGGAGACACAGCCGGCTGAGAAGCCCTCTTTCCATCAGACAAGCAGGTGAGCACTCCGGGGGAGGTGAAGGGTGTGTCCCTGAGGGAAAATAGCCCCCTTCCTCCCTTCCACTGTTGGGCCTTTAGGTAGCACCTGCAGATAGGGCGTCCGTTGGCCAAAGTTGTCAAGTAATTCATGCAGCAAAGGAAACTGCTTGTTCTCCCGCCCCGTCCCCCAGATCTTTACCCGCTTCCAAACCGAAGCGTGCTAATCCCATTTTCAAATAAAACCCTGTAGGCCCCCGAGAGTTCCATTGGATTGGCTTAAATCCTCAGCTCTAGCGCACCAGAATTGGGAGTCTCCGTGGCCGTCCTGGGCTTGCTCAGAGCTCGTGGTGCAAATGTTCCCCAGATTTGCCCCGGTTGAAAATTGAGCCCCCGCAGAACTGTGAAGGCTGTTGGCGCTCAATGTATTGCACTAACTTCAGCTCCCCACAAACTTTCTCTTGCCCTCCATGCACTGCTCTTGCAAAATTTGTACCTTCTTATATGTGTCCGGCAAGGGGGAGTCCCCAAACTTCTGCCCATTAACGCTCTCATGAAACGCTTCATGGCATGTTGGCAGCTGTTTCTTCCTCATTCATTCAGCTTTGGTTTCTTTTTATTTTTTTTGTAGTGGCCTTCAGGTACTAAAATTCTCTTCTCTCCATAGCTAAAGCATAACTGCACCCGAGACCAGCCTCTTCTGAGGAATCCTGGTGATAGACAGGCGAACAGACTTTGGCCCTGAAATATTTGGGGGTGTGGGGAGTATCGAGAGAAGGTCTAGTCCAGTCCTAACCACTGGTCAGAGTTTTGTAACTTGTAGAGACCGAGGGAGATTCTGGAGGTAGAGGTGTGTTCTGTGACTGATCCTGTTTTCCCGGCGCACCTTTGTGCGGCCTGACTGAGAGAAGAAGGGAACGTTATAGGGATCTGTGTCTACTCATAGCACATCAATTCTGCTCCCAGGTTTGAGGTGCCCGTTGACTTCAGAGTGAACTGTGAGGACCCATCTGAGAGCTGTCTTAGGCCCTGATGGATCGTCTTTACTTCTGCTACACCCGGGAAAACATAGTTCTAAGGGGCTGGTAGGGATTTCAACAGCCCAAGAATCCCTTTCCAGCTCATGATGGGGTGCAGTAGAATTCCCTTTTCCTTTTAGGCCCTGTACTGTAGTCCTTTCACATGCAAAGCTCCCCTTGACTTCAGTGGGAGGTCTGCATGCTAAATGACCTCACGATCAGTCCATTTTTCCATTTAATGGCTCCACGTTGGCCAGAGCCTTGGATCGTGCTGTCTTTAACTGAATTATTCATCCTCTAACAGGTAAACCGGCTCAAAACCTGCAGGTAAAAAAATCATTGTGTACAGATAAGTGCTACCATGCTTCATGGAAAGAGATGTGTCCTGCAAATCCAATGCTAGGCAACAGGCAGTGTGTGGTCCAGACTCTTCGTGTACAATACACGCTGATTGGTTAGTCGCCATCTTCCAGCTGACTGTATAGACAGTCCAGGGCAGGTCTCATCTGCGGGAAGAAGGATGGGTTTCTGGTTGAGGCCCAGGACTGGGATCCGGGCGAGCTGGATTCTGTTCTCATCTCTACCACCGATTCCTTCAATAGTATGAAGCTGGGCAAGTTACTTAACCTCCAGATGCTTCAGTTTCTCCATCTGTAAAATGGGATACTTGCCTCATGGAGCTGTTGTGAGGCTTAACTCATTAATATTTGTAAAGTTCTTTGAGCTCCCCAGGTGAACGATGCTGTAGAAGGACACATGACGTGACAAAGGAGGATCTTCAAATCTAGAGCAGGAGCGAAAGATTTATTTGGGAAACAAGTGACACATCCAGCAGATAGAGAAACATTGGGCTGGTGCCTGGGGCGGCTGTTCCAGGGTAGGCTGGGGGGCAAAAGGGGGCCGGAAATCATCGAGGAAGGGCTGGCTCTGGTGGAAACAGAACTTTTCACCAGATTTCTGCTCTCAGGCAGCGTGGCGACTTGTGTACTGCCCCACGGATAGACAGAGCAGGTCTCAGCCAGTCACAGCTGGAGTGGTGTCAATAGGAATGGAAGAGACGCATTTGGCTGAGGTCTGTAACTTCGACTCTCCAGGCTCTTCTGCGTCGGAGCCGGGAGAGTGGGAGGGTGTGGAGCGGGCAGGAGGCTCTGCTCAGACACCAGATTGGAAGGGTGAATCGAAGATTGAGTCAGAAAATTCTGAGGAAGGCTCCACTGAGCTGAGCGGAGGCAGCTCGCCTCTCTGGGGCCAATTCCGTCACCATCCTGCAGCCAGGGCAGGCTCTTGTCATTAAACCAGTGTGGTTGGGGTGAGGCAGGATGTGGGGAGTCGCACGCAGTGCATGCCGGAGAGGCCGCCTGTGCAGGGACTCCCTGTTCCTCTGCTCAGCGAGCACTTGGAGCTGGGGGCAGTGGATGTACAACTGGAATGCATCCACAGGCCATTCCCTGCTGTGGAGTAGGGGCACGGGAGGCGTGGAGGTGGAGTTGCAGCCATGGAACAGGCCTGGGTAGGAAAAACATTCCTACCACCCTCACCTCCTGCCCCTGGAGAAACTCCCCCGTTCGCAGCAACTTGACTTCGGTAAGATGCTGAGTAAGTATGTGTGGGACTATTGTACGGTGGCACAAGCATGTGCAGGAACGGGGACTGGAGAACGGTCCTCGGCAGACTTCCCCAACTACTTTCCACTAGTCCAGCCTCCGAGTGCCAGGACCAGGACGCCTGCACCTTCCCCTTCCTCGCCGTCACGACAGCGATTCCAGCACTCGGTGTTTTGCTTGCCAGGTGGTGGCGGTTGGTCACAGTAGCAACACTAGAACTTTCAGCTGTCCCACTCTGCTTTCCCATTCCACCTACGCAAACAGAAACGGATGCAAACCGGACAGGTGGACAGCTGGTGAAGCGGGGAGATAAGCACTTTGGTATCTGCTAAAACTGCTTCCAGGTCAGTTCACGCAAGGAAAACCAAGATGGTGCAGGAGAAGAGCTTCTGCCCAGAACACGGTGGGATGTTTTATGTTCGCTGTTCATGGTGACTGCAACAGACCCAGGCCTGGTTTCAAATAGGTTCAGAGATTTTAAAAATATTGTTAGCTGATCTGACCTCCTGCGTAACACGGGCCATAAAATTTCACCCAGTAACTCTTGTATATAGACTGGCTCATGATAGAACCAGGCTGATATGCAACTTACTAACTTGTAGGCAAAAATGTCCTACTCTGGATTTAATTTTCAGCCGCTGCTTAAGTCAGTCTTCCCTCAGTTACTGATCTAATTGCCTGTAAATTTGAGGTTTATATGAATTTGCCTAGAAGTTTGCACCCTAGATCTTAAACCCCAGAGCTAATTTTACGCTCCCATAAAGCACTGCTAATGGAACTGAGTCAGAAAATAGTTTCTCCCGTGTCATTGCAGGTCAACTGCACCCAGTGTTCAGAAAACTCAAATGGGAGCGGCATTTCTCACAATACCTTTGATCTATCCGCTCCTTGGAGTGGCACAATATTGCTGAAAGGGAACCTAATTGGTGACGCCAGCAGATTGTGGGGCTAGATCTGGGTGTTACTTAGGATTAACTGCCCAAAAAAGTTGTTAATGCAGAGTTTACTTCCCCAGCACGACTTTGTGTCCCAGCAGAACATGGAGGGTGGCTAAACTTAAACCTCTGCAAACCAGGAAACACAAATGGTCTCCCCTGCAATGCCGCAACCGTATCTCCAGGGCCATCCCTACCCATACGCAAAGTACGCAGCTGTGTAGCGCACCAGGAAATTTGGGGCACCAAATTTCCTGGTGCCCTGCTCAGCTGCATGCTGCTCCAGCCCCTGCTCCGCCTCTTCCCCATGACCCCAGCCCTGGTCCACCCCAGCCGCGCCTCTTCCCGCCCCTGCTCAGCCCCATCCCCGCCCCCACTCCAGCCAGCCTTTCCCCTGAGGACTGCAGCAGGGGTCGGGCTCCCAGCACTCACCGGCGGCAGTAAGTAGAGCGACCCGGCCCCAGCCTGCTCCGCTCCCCTGGCTCCCAGCTGCGCTGCCGGCGAGTGCTGTAGGGCGGTTCCTCCCTGCCCCTCAACTTAAGCCTGAGAGCCAGGGGAGCAGAGCAGGCTGGGGCCGGGTCACTTCACTTCCCGCAGGAAGTGGCCAGCCGCCCCCTCCCCCACACACACCTGCGGAGGCCGGGGGCCCCACACAGCTCCCCCCGTGGGGGCGGGAGGGGGCTGCGTAGGGCACAGCCCTGTGTAGCTGCTCTGTCCCTTGGAGCTGGCAGCACCATGTGAACCGCATTAACCATCTGGGGAAAAGGAGCGTTGCAGTGATCATGCTAAGTATTCTTCTCCACTTCCCTGGCACGGTACGTCTTCAAAGCGTGGTAGAGACGAACTGGAACGACACCTAGGGAATCCATTTGACTTCGGTGTTCTTGGCTCCCAGGCCTGTTCTCAGACTCCTCTGGACTTTAGATAGCGATGTTAAAACTCCTGGATTGCCAAGTAATTGTCTAGAAATACCTGTGACTGCGAGTGCATTGTCTTGGCGTCTCACGGAGAGCTGCAGCTTCCCCGTAGGAAATCTCACCTGACATGGTATGTGGCCCAGGGAGCGTTGCTCAGTAGATGAGGCAGGAGAAGCTGTAGTGAAGACTGACAACCAGGCCATTGCTCCATTGTTGTTAATCTTAAACTGTTGTGAAATTCACGACAACTGACCCTTTCAGGAGCCTCCAGGTGCTTATCAACTGAAATGTAAGCTCCATGATACCTCTATGATGGAGGTCATTAGGAATCCAGTTTGTCAGGGAAACTGAGGCACAGATAATTGTCTGAAATTGCATGACAAGTCAGTAGACAGAGCTGGGATTAGAACTGGAGACTGCTGATGTGCAGTAACCACTAGACCACACTCTCTCCCTATTGCTGGTATAACAAATGCCGCTTACCAACAGTATGGCAGCTGCCACCCTGGAAAGATGCGTAGGTTTTAAGCCAGCAGGGACCATCCTGATCATCTAGTCTGACCTGTACCACACAAGCCAGAGAACCTCAGTCACCGCTTTCACTTTGAGCTAGGGTGAATGTTCTAGAAAGACCTCCAGCCTTGACTTAGACTCCAAGTAGTGGAGAACCCACCGCCTCCTGAGGTAAGTTGTTCCAACGGTTAATTACCCTCAGCGCTAAGTGTATAAAAACTCAGCAGTTTAACATATCAGTTGCCTCTTACATGTGCCAAATGCTTCTTCCATTAATCTGCTGTGCTGATCAAATCCAGTGCAACTTTTTAAAAAGTGCTTTGGGATTTCAGAGACAGGCCTGCAAAATGCTGTATTTCTGTTCAGTAAGTCTCTCACCCAGACTATGCTGGAAGGAAAGTGCCTTGGGGCCGGCCCCCGCCCCTAATCTTTTTAATGTGTCCCCCTCACCTTCTGGACCTTGCAAAGCAAGGAGCTGTATACTAGTAATAAGGTAACTTGGTATGGCAAATGCAACCACTGCTGTCTGTTCAAAGTAGGTCTTGCCCCACAGTCCTGGCTGCAGACACCTCTTCTGTTGGTGGGGGGATACTGGACAGAAATGAGGCACTGCTGGAAAAATAATACTTTTGCCAGCTTGGTTTTTTTTGGGAGGGGCGGGGAATCTCTCCCAAAATTCCACAGCAGGCAAATGCTATAATGCATCCCCTGCCTAGCAGGAGAACTAAGAAACCGCATGCAAGCTGAATCCCCTGCCTAGCAGGAGAACTAAGAAACCGCATGCAAGCTGAGCTGGGGGAGAAATGAACTTTCTTCTGACAATATCTGTGGCAACTCTTGATCATCCGTCTGTGGTCCCAGCTTGCATCTAGAGGCTGTCTCTCAGTGGCTTCAGTGAGCTTGGGCCAGAGAAAGTGCCTTCAACGTCTAAAATGTTCCTGTAGGCAGAGGAGCTGTGTCTTCTGGGGATACTCATTTCTGCCAATCAGTCCCCATGTGAACCTCTTGTTAGAGGTGTCAACCTCTTCCTTTTCCATTCCACCATGTTTTTCTCTCTCGGGCTGGCTGGGTGTGTGTTGTGCGCTCTCAAATGATGAGTGGGAAGCCTTTGCCCAGACTGAGGCCCATGTGAGGGTGCCGTGGAATTTGGGACTGATTATGTTTAGGCCTGACTGCTCAGCTGCTCTGCCTCGCCCTCCTAGCTGGAAGGCTTGTCCTTTGTGTTGCATGAACCTGGAATTCAGGAGTGCAGAGTTTCTGATCCGTCCTCTCTTCATTCACAGCTTTTAGCTAGAGGAAGCTTCGTAACTTATCTGCGTTGTAAATGGCTTTGGGCTGAACCCGAGTTAACCTTTTTGAGGCACAATTTTCAAGTCTGGTATCCCCTGTGCTCAGTTAGAAATTGAGGGGGAACGTGGTCTAGTGGGTAGAGCACAGGCCTGCAACAGGAGGAGAGAAGAGGGTTCTGGTCCCAGCCCTGCCAGTGACCTTGGCCAATGCAGTTCTCTTCTGCGCAGCCATTGTGCCATCTGTAAATGCAGCGGCTTGCCAGCCTCCCTGGAGTTTTGGGAGAACTGATGCATGCTTGCAAAGCACGTTGAGTTCCTCGGATGGAATGCAGGATGGGATACGTAATGTGTTAGCTTGTGTATGCATCAGCTGTGGTTATAATTCTTTGCAGCGTGGCTGCTGCGTATGCAGAGTAAATCTGCTTCATGGCATTTCGGTTTGTGTTTATTACTAAATGTCATGGCACAGATTTCACGTATAAACTACACATCACCTCCTCTCTTCCCCATTAGGAGTTGGCAGCGCAGTTTGCCTCGGGACACTTCTCTGTTTTGTGGGGAGCCCAGACTTCAGCCCAAAGGACAAACACCCACTGGGTGACGCCAGAAATGCACCCTGCAGCCTTGCTTGTGACTGCAGGGGGCAGAATGGGGCAGCAGCTGGCAGAAAAGCAATAACCCCCTTGTCTGTCAGGGAAGGTGCTTGCGCCTATGCAGTTTGGGTCGTGTATTTTGGTGCAAATTCTGTGGTGCTCTTAGCCACCATGGCCAGCTGCCAGGACCCCATCTAGTGCAGTCCTGCTGGCCTTGGTGCATGGGGCCAGGGGGTGGGGGTGTGTGCATGGTGTGTCCTCGCTGTAATCCCTAAAGTGGGCAAGTCACACAATCGTTTCCAGTATACTGCGGTTCCCCTTTGAGTCTGAAACACACCAAGACAAACCAGACTCTTAGGGTTAATTGTGTATGTTTACACCCTAAAATAGGGCAGTTATGACTTGGTGGAGTCAGCAGATCTGCAGTGTTCTCCTAGATGGGGAAATAGTCAATAGGCAGCCCACCAGCTGTGGGTCAGAGTGGTACGTAACTCCCCAGCCAGTCCGTAATGGCTCCAAACGCTAACCTAAGGGGGCCCAGGACTTGGTCAACAAGGTCCTTAGCTGGGCAAAGAGCCCTGAGCCTCAGAGCTATGCCTAACTTCCCCAAAACGGAGCAGATTGAAACACTGTCACTAAGGCCCCAGCATGCAATGCTGCCATCTTGGTTAGAGCAGCCCACAGAGACCGTGGGTGCCAGCAAGCAGTGGGGCCTGACTCCCTGTATCAAGGAAGAATTGCATTCTGGGACTTGTAGTCTCCAGGGGTCCTATCTCTCTCTTAGAACTTTCGGGCTGCATTGCAGCGCTCTATGGGCCATCTGCCCCCCCCCCTCCCCCCGGGCAGGTAAACATTCAGTGTGGTGCCTGGTGGAGGATGCAGCTGTGTGGAACCCACTAACTCTGATGTACTGCTGACTTCCCCCACAGGCAGAGAAACCAAAGGGCAGACGTGCTTCCCCATCCCCCAGCTCTGTGTGGCGCTAACTCTCTGACTTCCTTGCTCCCTTTAGTCCTCATCCAGTGAAGCCCATAAGTGCTGCCGTGGCAGAGGTCTCCGGGGAGAAGAAGCAGCACAGGTCCACCCTGACCACTGCCCTGAGCAGCGGCCTGGAAAAGCTGAAGACCGTCACCACGAGTAGTGTCCAGCCAGTGACCCCTTCATCGCAGCTGGAGAAAGTGGAGTCCAAGAAGCTAAAGGTAGGGTCACCGCCACTGACCAATAGCACGTATTCTCCTCCCGCACCGCTTTGTGTCTCATATTGGTGCTTAGTTACAGTGGTGATTGGAGGCCTAGAAATACCTAGCAGAGATCCCGTTGTGTGTGAGAACCCGTTACACCACTGAATCAGCAGAGCTGCAGATACTACCCCAGACTCCAGCCACCAGTCCCTGTTCTAAGCACTGGGCAGGACCCTGCTCTGATTCGGGATGATGAGCAAGTTATCCGCTCTTTCCCCTTCACCGTCTGGACTCTGCCGTTTCCTTGTCTCTCTCCTGCTGAGCTGGGTTTCACAGTGCATGTTCAGCTGTACGGAACCAGCAGGGTAACTACAAGACGCTGCACTGCCTCTGAATTTACAATCTCAGGGAAAATCTAAGGCCATGTTGTCGACAGTGCAGCTGGGTGTGTCCCTCCCAGCCCTGGTAGACAAACTCACGCTAGCTCTGTTTGAACTAGCGTGCGAAGAACAGCGGCGTGGGAGTGAGGCATTGGCGGTGGCTTGGGCTAGCCACCCGAGTCCAAGCCCGCCTGACCCCATGTCTGAGCTCAGGTGGCTAACCCGTGTCTTCGCCAGCGGCGCAACGTCCAGACTGCTGTTCTTAGTGTGCTAGTGCAAGTCTCCCCGTGCTGCGTAGACATATCCCAAAGGGTTCTGCCTGCTGGTGAGGGTGGGAAGGAAACACTTCCTGGAGCACTGGCTCTGCCATAGTTTCTGATGAGGCAGTGATGGCTGGCTGCATTCAAAAGCCAGTGTGTGCTGACGGGCAAACCACAAAGTCTCTTGATGAGTTCATGGTTGCTTTCCTCTCTCTTTCCTATGGCTATTGCAATTCCTTGCTCTTTGCTTCCCCCAATTCCAGTTCTCCAGACTGTACTGTGTGTACGTTGCTGTGTCAGCGCAGGGGGCTGGACGTGGATGGCTTCTCAAGGCCCCTTCCAGCCCTACACTTCTGTGATTCACACGTACACAGAAATGCCACCATGTCACCATCACGCTCAAACACCCCCGCTGAATCCAGCCAGCAACCACCTGTCTTCAGTTCTTCCACCCCCAGCTCGCAAATCTTATCCGTGTCTCCTGGGTGCTCATCTACCTGCAGTCTCCTCTCCATCCCTTCACTGCCTCCTCGCAGCTCCCTCACTGTTCAGTCTCCATTACGCCTAGGGTCTCTGCTCTACACTGAATTTGTCACCCTCTTACAATTTAGCCCTATAACTGTACAGTGCTTTAGGATGTCACTTACACAAAAGCTGCTATGCAAAATACACAGAACTAAAACATGCACAGATTATTTTCTCGTGCACACATATCGGTCTGAGTCACAAGCTGGATTCAGTTACTTCCCGTGCATACAGTTTGCAGGTGTATTTTGCAAGGTACAGAGAGGGTCTCATTTAAGCTCACCAGACCTGCTTCCTTTTGTTCCTGCTGTAGGATGCTGCTCTGCCGGACCAGTCTGCCAAGTATTATCACCTGACCCACGATGAACTCATCCAACTGCTGCTGCAGAGGGAGAAGGAGCTGAGCCGGAAGGAGGAGCACGTCCATGAACTGGAGAACTACATTGACCAGCTGCTGGTGCGCATCATGGAACGGTCTCCCACCCTCCTTCAGATCCCCCTGGAAAAAAACACGACCAGCAAGTAACCTGTGCTCAGAGATCTCCTTGGCGTCACTTGCCCACCGCACTCCTGGAATAAACACGCCAAAGACACCTGATTCTGCCCCTGCACACACTCTGTCCCCACCTCTTACAAGTAAAACCCAAGAGGGCTTTGGTGGCCCATACAAATTCGCAGCGAGTCTTTCAGTAACGACTAGCTGTATCACCTAACAAATGTGCTCTAGCTCCAGGAAACGACCGCATCGGGGTATAGAACACTGCAATGCCCCGCCCAGGAGCTGGACTTCTCCCCCACGGCCTGGCAGCATGGTTCAGGAACATCTCCTGCCAAAGCCGTAAGGAGTCCATGGAACTGGACGTCTGAGAATTGGAAATGTGCCATCTAGCCCCTGACTTCAAGCTACCACCCCTGCCCGTGTTCCCAAATGACCCTGGTCTATCAGAAATGGGGTGTCCTGGCTTGCTAGAAAGTTCTATGAATCGCTGCTGCTGCTGCCACAGCTGAGGAACCTTACGTGTGACACCGGAAAATCACAAGTGTGTGGCTTTTCCCCGTGTTGCTGTGCATGCCAGTGAGGCAAGGGGCGAGAGGGAGGTCTAGCTTCACCTCTCTTCTTGTATTTCGATGGGAACCGTTTCTTTGCCAGCCCAAAGGAAAGGGTTCCCCATCCAATTAGCAAGCTCCTCTCTGAGCACTAAGTCCCTGGCCGTATGGGAGATGAGACAAAAAGTGACACTGGTGAAATCGGCTGAGCGTGACTAAGCATGTGTCAGTGCTGGAGCACGAGCTGCGTTGGTAACTTTACTGCACGTTTGCCTCTGTGACAAAACCCACTCTTCCTTACCCAGCTCAGAACAGAACTTCATCCCCGTGGCTTCCGGGGAAGGGACCTGTTGATGTTCATGCAGCCTCTGTCCCATAGAACTTCCTTCTCAAAGCCACCCTACCCATCACCGATGTGTATGCTGCAGGCACACACTGCGGACTCTTGTTGGCATCAGTCATGGCTGATATTTCTGCACAGTATTATCTCATTAAACACCTCTATCCGTGTTTACAGGGCATGTTTGAAACCACCATGGCCCTTGACACTACTTGCCTACTTCTTTGTATTTATCTTTTTGTTAATGTGCCTGGAAGATGCCGTAAGAAACAGAAGCTAGTGTGTGACTGCCCAGCCCTGTCTGCGTGCATGACAGCCCATTTAGCCAGACGCCAGACAGATACAATCTATAATAAACTAGCAATTCACCACTCTAAAATACCCCCAGGATTAACATTATGCCTAGGGCCTAGATGTTTCACTGGGCCAGCACTCTCAGGAGGTGTATATGTAGCGCTAGATTTTGGGGCCTCAATGAACAAGCTCCTCGTTGGCTGGTTGGTTTAGTAGCTGCAAGTGTGGTGGGGCCGAGGGCTTGACTATGAGTGGTACACCTGGCCACAGTAGAAAACAGCATAGTTGCTGGTTCTGATGTGCACTTGGGCGGGGCCAGAAGTTGCTGTTGTCTTCCATTTTGGTTTTTAGCTCTTGTCCGTTTCTTCTCTCTGTTCCATCAAGGGGTTGGGTGGCGGGTCCTCTTGCAGGTGAAGAAGCGGCCGTGTTATCCCATCGAGACAGTGAGGACAGGGCCTGGCACCTAACTCGACTTGGACTTCAGTGTCCTCAGCCTGGCAAAGGGGCATTGTTTCCACTGGAGCCCCTGGAGTTTTTGCTGGAGCTTTTAAGCCGTTTTCACATTCTTTCACTGTTACCTGTTTAAATGTATTAAAAGCGACTTCGGAAAGTTGTGCCTTTTGTAATAGAATAAGGGCAGTTTCCTGCTAAAATGGTTGATTCTTTAAACCCAACCTGCAGTCCAATGTATTATTGTCCTTACCTAGCCCAGCCTTGCAAAATTCTACTTGCCCGCCAGGCTCAGGTAAGTTGGGGGTGGTTTTGTTTGGTTTTTAAAGCAGATAAAACAGACCGTCCTGGGCAAAGGGTGGGCAAGTCGCTGTGTGTTCCGGGGGTGGAACACTTCTATGCAAGGCGGGTGTAATTGACGTTTTCTATAGGGATAGTAATACGGGGTGTATGTGCCAAGGCAAAGGGTGCCTGGGTAAAGCCAGTGCTAGAACCTGTTAGGGAGTCATGCCCAATGGAAGCGTGAGTCTGCCAGGGAGGAGAGAGCTATTGGAACAGGAGGCAGCATGGTGATGGGAGGAGCGGTTTTAAAAGGGGATCTGATATTACAGTAATTGAGAATTTCTGGCCACATCCAGTCTGTAAAATATCATATAAGGAGGAGGATCTTAGTCCCTTGAAAACACTGGCCATGAGCATTTTGGTCCTATTTGCCTTTGTTTCTAATAGGAAAGAAGTCCGGGGTTTGCATTTATCTGCCTGCATTGTTGTTGTTTGTGTGCATGTGTCTCGGGGAGGGTGGGGGTATGTTTATATTGTACAGTTTAGGGTTTTAAGAAATGTATCCAGCTTTTTTTCTTCATACAAGTTCAAGTACCAAGAACTTCTCTTTGCACGTACAATCAAAAGGTTCCCCTGGAGTGAGAGCCAGGTCCCTTCCCTGGTTGTATGCCTCTTGGAAAAGGTCTTCCTTTTATTTGAGGAGGAGTTGCATCCAGTGTGGTTTAAGCAGGCAAAATTTGCATAAAAACAATTGTGCAACTAAACCTACCACACCAGAGCGTGGAAGGGAGGGCATGATCAAAGACAGGCTAGCTGGAACATGGAGGCCTGTGTCAGATGGATATTATAAAGGAGGGAAGTCGGTAGTATTTCATCTCTATGAGAATAAATGTGTCCATACTGACTTTTCGGCAGCCTGTTTATAAAAGATGCCTGCCCCGTTCTGTCTGTACTCTGAAATATACCTGCTTCCTTGGGGTGGCACAACTCACCGATGGGGGACTGCCATCATTTCACTGTTCTTCCAGTGTACCATGCAGCAGAAACATACGAGACCAGATCATGCTGCCTGGTACAAAACCGTTCCTCCTGTTGGCTTGATCCCTGGACAGCCTCTAGAGCCAATTAATTGCTCTCTTGGATAGTCTTTCTTGTAGGATTTTGTTTCGTCTTCTCATCCTGAGGACTGACTTATTGTAGGTGCTTTCCACACCCACACAAGTGCCAATGTTTTTAAAGAGCTCTCTGCACCCCTATCCGCTGCTTCTTAATCCTTTTGTTATGATTTAATCACATCTTTCTGCCTTAGTCGGTTTTCTGCCTTTTCAAAGCTTGAATGTTTGGCACTTTATCTATTCAAGATAACCTTGAAGAGCTGCATCACAAAGAACTGTACCAGGACAATGGACTTGTTTAACGGGAAACGTGTTTCCTTTCCTCCTCCCTCTGTATGTCACTGCTGTGGGATTGAACCCCATAGACAATCTTGCACCAAAAGAATCCACTCAGTGAAAAGTTGTACGTAGCTGAAAACGCTGCCAAGCGGATACAGTAGCTTTAAAATGTCCAAGCCTTGATTCTACACTAGCAGGGATGCTCTGAGAAACCACTTGGGAGACTCAGCGTACCTGGTGGAGCAGGTACTGCATGGGTAGCACGACATCTGAGTTAACCAAAGTTAGAGTGTGAGGAGTAGGGCACAAACCTAATGATCGTCATGGCTAAGAGGGTGTTGTCCCTCCCTCCCCTGTTTTGGGTGTCATCGAATTGACTGTTAGAATGTTCAGAAGTCAGGCATTTGCGATTGAACTTGGCTAGGGAAAGGCATCCTTGAGGAGAGGTGTCTTTGGTAAGTCCACTTACTGTTTTGTCCTCCATTTCTCCACTGCCTTACAAATCTTTCTCCCCAAGTGATTATGCGCCGCATAACGGAGCAGAGAATGTTAAATATGCCACAAGTGTCCAGAGAACTTTGTTAAAACCAGATTGGCTATTTAATTAACTTCATCTGGTACTAAAAAAAAAATGTATTGGAGAGGCTGATGTGAAGATTTTAAAATGTAGATGTCTTACAAAAAGGAGGCAGGGGAGAGCGGAGTACATAGAAATGTATTTGTTCTAAAAACGATTGATGCTCCTGTCCTGTATCCGTATTTAAAGGAGGTGGTTGTGTAAAAACAAGGAGTTGAAAGTATGTCATTGTCCCTATGTACCAATCTAATGCTGGAACCCTCTTGGTGAGGGTTCGTCACTGCAGGTGAGATGACTAGTATGTATAGATCACCTTCCGCTGTCAACAGTGTGGCTGTTTATTCAGTTTGAAACAAAGCCATTCCTGTAACTTTGTCTTTCATCCCAGTATAGTCGGCCTCTTCCCCACACAAACTGCTTTGCAGGGTTTTTCTGCAGATGTGCAGCTGATGGTGTTTATGCCGTGCTTTGTTGTCAGCCCATAGGGTCAGTAAACTTTATTTTAAAAGGAAGCCCGTCAAGCGATCTGTTTCTTTATTTTCTCTTCCGGCCAGGGGTGAAGGGGGTACAGAAGAGATGTCCAGTGATGACCTTAAACTGGAACAAACCTGAAGGGATATGGATACTGAAAGTGTCTTGTAAACCCAGTCTATTTGAGTTGGATGATCTTGTTTGTAAAAAAACAACAACGGTATGTTCTGTGCTATAAACGTGTGTTGGAAATGCACCCAAAAAACCAGGGTTCAGACTGTTCAAATCTGGGGGGTATGTTGATTTCCCTATTCTTCACAGAGTTGGAAAGTGTTCTGCTTATGTTTCTTGATTTAATAGTTGCAACTAATGTTTATAAAGAGCTTGTTATTTACGTTTTAAGCACTTTAAAAAAAATAAAAATTGTTCAAACTGTTCCTAGACGCGTCTGATTTACTGATGAGAAGGGCCGTGCTAATTGGCGCTTGGGAACTGAGTGATCGGTTAACTCTTTTATTTTATTTCCTGAAATAGAATGATGGTCTCCTTTCGGTTTCTCTCTTTAGGAGTCGGGTCTGTTATTTTTCATTCACACAGAGGTCCCTGTGCTTCAGGAGCAGCATGTCTGTATCGATCACAATTTAAACCTGCGCACTTATAATGGTGCACCCTTGCATAGTGCCATTCATCTGTAGATCTCCGAATGTTTTTGCAAAGGGAAGGCAGGATCACTAATCCCATTTTTATGGGCCAAGGCATGAAAATGGAGAAAGCCAAGTGACTTGCTCAAGGTCACTCCGTGAGTGCAGTAGGGCTAGGAATAGAAACCAGACTTCTCTGCTGTTCAGTGGGTCACCTTGCTGCTTTACTTATCGAGTTACGATAACTTTATAGTACTGTATTAAAAACCCCACCTAATGCCTAACACTTTCTTCTGTCCAAGTGATACACAGCATTTTGGTTGCATGGTGGGGAAACCGCAATTGAGAATCATCTGGCTTGAAACCTCCAGCTGCCATTTTATGGATTACTTAGGATGTGTCTTCACTGCAGTTAGCCAGGGCTCCTAGCTGGGTGTTGACACTAGCCCTCCTCTCATGAGTTTGATGCTGCTTTGAATCTGGGCTGGTTGTCCAGGCTGGGGGTGTGGTTTAGAGCTCAGGTCCCACTCCCACCCAGGCTAGTAACCCACCCACTTTGCAGTTAGGATACAGACTCAATCACTTGAGTGCTGATAGTCCTCCAAATGCCTGCCCAGAAGGACATATGGATTCTCCCACAATTCACTGGGAAAGAATCCTAGCAGCAGAACCATGGGATGTGCCCCCAGAAGTCCACGCATGGTGTGGCTGCAGCAAAAGTGAGGCTATAGTAACTTAGGTGGGGCTTTGCGGTGGCTGCTCACACCTGGGTGGGGCTAGGCTAACCTGGGTGCTGATCACCAAGACTAAAAGCAGGAAAGACATATCCTTAAAGGTGAATCGTTGCAAGGCATTGTACCCAAGGTATACTGGCAAACTTTGCCCTTATTTCCACAGTATTCCCAAACGTGTTTGCTTCTCTTTATTTCAGCCAACCCCTCTTCCCCGGAGGGAGGGACAAACCATATTTTGAGACACTCAACAAACCACCACCATCCATCTAGCATCTCGCTAAAGTAATGTCCCCTCCTATGCCTCTGTCAAGGAAGAGGGTGGATTGACATCAGATGGCGCATGTCGGAGTTATTCAGGGGTGGAGTATCAGGGGGTAGCGGTCTTAGGGGTGGAGTAGGGCTACATAGGATCTGGATCCACCCCAACTGCAGAGTTATCATTTTAATAGTAAGCAGCCCTACTGGCCCACAGATCAGCCCTGCTGAGCTGAAAATGTCTGCTTTACCCAGGCAGGCTCATGTGGGGCCAATTAAGTAAGAGAAAAAAACTTCTGAAGTGATAATCAAGATAGCCCAGTACAGACAGTTTGATAAGAAGTGTGAGAATACTTACATGGGGAGATAGATTCAATGTTTGTAATGGCTCAGCCATTCCCAGTCTCTATTCAAGCCTAAATTGATCGTATCTAGTTTGCATATCAACTAGATATATTTAATTGGCCTCTCAGAGTTGGTAAGACAACTCCCATCTTTTCATGCTCTCTGTATGTGTGTGTGTGTGTGTGTATATATATATATCTCCTCAATATATGTTCCATTCTATGCATCTGAAGAAGTGGGCTGTAGCCCACGAAAGCTTATGCTCAAATAAATTTGTTAGTCTCTAAGGTGCCACAAGTACTCCTGTACTTTTTGCGGATACAGACTAACACGGCTGCTACTCTGAAACCTTAATTAAAAACGGTAGGAATTGCTCTAAAGGACACAAAAAAGATTAATGGGCCCGAAATGTGATGCCATCAGCCCAGTACCTAAGGGCACTTATCTCTAGAGAAAGAGAAGCCCCCCCTGCAGTAGAAGGACAAGATTGTTTACTAAGGCCTCGTCTGCACTTAAAATCTGTATTGACTTCGCTACATCCCTCAGGGGTGTGAAAAGTTCACCACGGTGGTTAAGCCAATCTAGCTCCCGTGTAGACATGGGTAGGTCAATGGAAGAATTCTAGCTACCACTGCTTGGGGAGGTGGGTTACCTACACCGACAGAAAAACCTTTTCCATGGATTGTAAGGAGTGTCTACACTAGAGGGGCGTGGCTCCAACAGTACAGCGGTAGCGCCCATAGTGTGGACGTGCCCTAAGGCAGCAGACTTGTTTTTAAAGCTTTCATGGGGTTACAGTCCCCAGACTTCGCATAAGATGTTAAACTGAAGAAGAAAGTTGCTACACAACAAGGTTTGGGAGCTGAACAATCTTAGCCCCTGCCTCCTGCTAACACACGAACATGCGCAGGCAGAATAGATTGAGCCAGGTACCCCTCCCTGCCTTCAATATTTTAACATTTTTCTGTCAGTCTGTAGTGTTTGACCTCTGGTAAGGTGTCTGAGGTGTAGAGCCATCCCATCCGATCTCCCACACTGCACAGCAGGAGACTGGGGCAGGTCTTGGATGAGACCCGGCAGAAGGACAACAGCGGGCTGGCGATGCAGAAGACGAGTCAGTACTGGATTTGTGACCCTGTAGAGGAGCAGTGCTGCTGAAGCGCCTGATGATTTGTAACCGAAGATCCAATAAGTGACACTCTTCATGAGAATAGGGGTATGGCCGGTGTTATACAGGAGGGCAGACTAGATGATCACAATGGTCCCTTCTGGCCTTAGAATCTGAATCTATGTTCTGGCCAAATTCAGCAACTGTATTCTCTCTGCCGATGTTCCCCTCTGCAGCTTCAGTTGGAAAAGGTATGCGTCACTTCCTGCCCATGCGGTTCATTGTGGCTTCATGCTGCTAAACCCCTGATAAAGGAGGCTCCAATGTAAAAGGTACATTGGGTTCCTATAGCAGAGCCTAATGATGAGTGGGTAGGTCCTGTTCGGCTTGACAAGCCCAGAGGCAACTGGTGGGCCAGTGTGTAGGAGGGCCATTGTAAGTGTCACTAGCTCGCTGCTTCCTTTGCAACTAAGCCGCTTATTTAGGCACCTGATTTCTGAGCACCCATTTTTCAAAATCTTGACACCTTTTTGTTTCAGTAGCTGCCACCCTCGTCTCTTGCTTTTTAGATGCCCTGCTTTGCATAGAAGTTTCTTTAGCCACAACAAAGGTGGGAACTTACCATATTCACCTCTAGGAGGGGGGGAACATCCAAGTCTAGGTGGTAGGAAATATCATGCAGAGGTAACTTGCATCTTCTCTTTCTAAACTTCCAGTCCGACTTTGGCTGAATGAAAATGGCATCTAAGAATGGAGACGCTTGCCAGCGTAGTGACAGCTGTTTCTGTTATTCCAGTGCTGCTATGTTAGCATGGGGACCTTCGAAGGAGAGCGCTAGTTCATTCCTTATCCATAAAGGCGCATGAATGTGATGGAAACCAAGACAGTGGCTTCAGTTTCATACCTCAGTGGAGTCTAAAAATGAATGTTTTCTGCTGCTGTTGAAAGAGGTGAATGAACTCGTTCTTCTGAAGGAAAGAGTCAAATAATCCGAACTGCGGATGCTAATTGCAAAACTCTGTAGGTGCATTATGTGTCGAGGACTCTGTCTAGTGGGAGCATTTCAGCGTCTGGTTTTACAGCTTGGGGAGGGCACAGAGGATCTTTGTGCTTCTCGAGCGTTTTGCAGAAGAGGCCAGAGGGCAGCATGTTTTGTGACAACCGGCCTCCCTATAAGGGGAGGAAAGGGAAATTGCGATGGCGATTCAAAAGCCCTTTTGGAAAACAGATATTGTCAAATACTCTTTAAACTGCCATCATTATCAGCATTAAGTCTGTGTTTGAGCTGAGGTCAGGGTTCAGTGTAAACACGGATCCCGGCACACCTGTGAAAACAGAGGAATACTGGAAAGGGGGAGGATCTATTTCCAGCCATCCTGCCATGAGCAGAATTTACCAAACAAAGAGGGCATTAGAGGTCTGAGCGGGGGTTGTCCTGTAACACTTTGAGTGACACCCAAGTGTGTTTTGGCATCCCGGGTCTGACTGTGAATTAAAGGCCTAATACCATTATTCCACTAAAAGATCTAGATTGCACTGGGCCTCCGCTTTGCACAGGACCAGTCCCCAGCTGAGCTTTTGCCTCTACACGAGAGCTTCCAGCTTCTCCTCTAATCTCCTCCACCTGTTATTTTATCAATCCTTTGTTTTCTTTTCAAGGCCCAGGTTTCTATTCATGACTTTCCTCATCCCTTTAGATTTTTTTTTTAAATTCCCTTTAAGCTTTGGTAGATGACTTTGCTGCTCAAACAGAGGTGTTTAGTTATCCATAATCCTAGTTTGTTTTTCATCCAGCGGGATCGTTTTCTATTCTCTAGCTTGGCACCTGTTTAGATGTATCGTGTTAGCACTGATAGCATAGACCGGTTTGGGAGGAAATGTGCAGCACGTTATTGTGCGGGGTCAGGAATGGCAGCACACTGACCCCCAGAAGACCACACTAAGTAAAGAGAGCCCGAAATTGCTCGGGGAGGTTGTGTCTGCTGCAGGAGCAATCAAAGTTGTTGGGTGTGGAGCAAAAGTCATTAAGAAGCTGGAGGCAAATTAGGATCCTTCAAGTTGGAGAGAAAAGACATTTTGGGCTTAATCCCTGTCAGGGATGGTCTAGTTTTACTTGGTCCTGCCTCAGCTCAGGGGACTGGACATGATAGCTTCTTGAGGTCCCTTCCAGCCTTTCATTTCTATGATGCCTGGAAACTGGATGATTTTAGGATAGGAGAGGTGGATTGTGCAAGAAGCACTACTTGGGAGCTGGGGAAGGATTTTGCTAGGGAGAAGATTGGGTGGAGTAGGTCTGGGCCGACCTGTCTGGAGGAGCGTCCCAACCTGCCATACCTCTAGGGTGGCCAGGTGCC